CCCCAAAACCCCAAAACCCCAAAACCCCATTATCCTACATTCATAATTTTTTGTGCTTTGTGAAATAATTTTTATCTATTTGAAGAGCTATTAATAATATAATACTCAAAGCAATCATTATATTGATTAATGAGAAAATATCTTTAATATAATGATCATTGATTCAAAAACTGGGATCTGGGCATAATACGGCTAAATGCCTATCGCTTCTGGCTATCAATCCTTAACCTTAAATATTTCATCTGTTCATTGACTTGGATTATTTCTTAATTAAGTGGAATTTATAATCTATTTTTGCTCTAATTAGGATTTTACAATTCTTTCATTTCCTGATCTATTTTATATGCTTATTTGTTTTTAGGAAAATTTTATGTTTCAATTTCGAGTAACTTATCCTCTTGCATTCGCTTTTGTTCATCCTAATAACGATTAAATTTCACTCTAGAGAGAGCTGGAGATAGGTTTGTGGCCTAAAAATTTCTTTTTATAAACTTAAAGGGAGAAGTAGAGTCGAGAAAATTAGAACTGCATTACTCTCTACTTTTCTTCTAAACAACGCCATTATTTATAGAAAGTAAAAGGTTGCTAATAACTTCCTATCTTTGTAGATCTCTTTAAGCATAATAATTCTTAACATAGTCTTTAATTTACGAATTTTTTTTCATTTATCGGCAAGACCCCTAAAAAAATTAGGATGTAAGTGCACTACTATTTTCATCTCCATAGAAATCATTGGAATAATAGTTGTCTTATCGTTTTAGCTTGAGTGAACTTCGAAATACTTAAGTCTGATTTAAATCCTATTAATTAGTATAATTATCAAGCTGAGAATTCTTAGGTGATGAATCTAATGAATTTTAAATACTTTTTGGTCTGATAGGTTACTTCATGTTCTTTTTATTAATCCTTGATTGCCTGATTGCTTCGAGTTAATTCTAATTTTATTACTTCTTAATGCATACCTTGGTTAGATTATCTAGCTCACGTTTTCCTAAATCCTTATAATTTGCAACTAAGTTTTTGTGCTAATCCTAATCCTCTTCGCTTTAGGAATCAGAAAGCAATAACATTGAAAGTTTAGAGGAGTGAACGTCTCTTTTCTATTTGTTCTCCCTCTAATATTTGCTATTATTGGAATCAATATTTTTAATGTCTATGAGAGAAATTGATGAAGATATTGAGCCTGATTCTGATGAAGATATAAACATTCCTACAGAAAGCTGAGTCTTCTCCTAAGATTTAAATCTATCACTAAGTTTAAATCCAGGCTTTTTAAATGTAATTCTTGAGTAGTCTGTTGGATTAAGATTACTATCTTTTCCTATTTTTATCACTGCAGTTGTCTGGTGTATTGATTATTTGTTTGACTCTTTAACAATCGATTTTTATAATTCTTCGATTAATTTATCAACATCTACTCTCATCCTGTGCTTAGCTAAACTACTCTTTGACCTCATTTTATTTAAGCCTTATTGATTCATTACTTTTAGTTAAGATGTACACCTTTTTTTCATATTCATACTTGGTTTGATTTACTGTATTGTTCTATTGAATTAATTATATTTGAAATTTATGTATACGTATCGTATTTGTTTGTTTAGCCTTTAGTAGATATCTGATATCACTAATAATATAATGAAATATTTAAATGTTGATTCATTAACTTGATTTACATCTACTATTCTAGACGAATGGGGTTTTGGGGTTTTGGGGAGATCGGAAAGAGCGTC